ACATGGTTGCACCATCCACCATGTCTGGGATCTGTCGTCACCTCAGAGGAGAGGCTCGGGACCCACCTCTGGGCCAGCTCGCTTAAACTCCGAGGCGCTAGCGCATGCCTCCCTTTGGCCTTGTTGAACGTCAAGGGGAGAAGCCTCAACATGGCTGCACCATCCACCATGTCTGGGATGCGTCGTCACCTCGGAGGAGAGGCTCGGGACCCAGCTCTGGGCCACCTCGCTTGAACTCCGAGGCGCTAGCGCATGCCTCCCTTTGGCCTTGCTAAATGCCAAGGGGAGAAGCCACAACCGCTACAGTCCGAGGCTCACACAGTTCATCTCCTTAAGTTATGTTAATGTGCTTAAGTCCAAGGCTCACACAGTTCATCTCTTTAAGTTATGTTAGTGTGCTTAAGTCCGAAGCTCACACAGTTCATCTCCTTAAGTTATGTTAATTTGTTATGTTAAGTTGCTTAAGTCCGAGGCTCACACAGTTCATCTCCTTAAGTCATGTTAATTTGCTTAAGTCCGAGGTTCGCACAGTTCAGTCACTCAAGTTATGTTCATTTATTTCGGTCCGAGGCTCACAAAGTTATTTAGTTCATGCTTCTATCAAGTTCCAGTTCATTTGTTTAACGAGGTATAAAAACTTGGACAAAAAGCAACAATGAAAGAAGAAAGACATTATATTGATATTTCAAAGAAAGTTACAAAGGAGGGCCTCTGGCCATTACATCCAAATTACTGAAAAGTAAAACCTAGTCTATGCCTGGCTAGATGACGGAGGCGCCTCAGCACTGGGGGCTTCGGCAACTTGGGCATCAGGAGTTGTTTCCTCTGCCTCAGCACTTGGGGCTTCGGCATCAACTTCTTCATCACCCTGGACCTCCTCAGCTGGGGTTTAAGGTACCTCATCCACAAATTTGGACCTAAGTTGAGCCAGGTCCAAATTGGGATACAGCTCCTCTGCCCGCTCCAGCATTTCGACATAGGCGAAGTTCCTCCAGTACGAGCTGAAGCTCTTATACTCCTCTGTAGTGTGGAAATTGGTGATGAATTCCTTCACCGCCTCCTCCCTTGCAATTCGGGCCTCTTCTCGTGCAACCGAGGCGTCGTTCATGTACCACTTCGCCTGGCCTTCGAGAAACTGATAAGCATCTCGAGCACCGGCCAAGGAGAGATTCGCCTTCTCAAGAGCCTCAGCAGTCACCTTTTGGTACTCATTGGAGACTTCCACCTTCTTTGTCAAGGAGGCCACCTCACATTGTGACTCATACACCTCCTTCTTTAAGGCCTCAATTTGGGCCAAAGCAGACTCAAGCTTCGCCGCCTCTTCAACTTTCTGGGCCTTGGCTTCTTCGGCCTCGGCCTTAGCAGCTTTCACCTCCTCTGCAAGGGAGGCAGACTTCCCCTCCGAGGCCTGGGTCCTTGTCTGGAATTCGCTCAAGGCCTCCCTGCATTCGAGCGTGAGGCCAAAGGTTTGGGCGCTCTGGCTCACCAGTGCCCTTGTCAAGTCGGTGGCATCACAAGACGAGGCATGCAGCTGCCACCTCTCTGTCCAGAACTTGTAAAAGCTCTCGGTGGCACTTCTGATTTCTTCAGGGAGAGCCTCTACCAAGGCTGGGGCCAGCTCCTCCTCCCTCCTAGCTAAGAAGTTCGGAGACTTTCCCTTCTCCCGAACCGGCTTTTCCTTTGCTGCCTCCTCCTCGGCAGCTTCTGCAGCTCGCCTTGCGGCCTCCGATCTAGCCTCTTCAGCCTCTACCTCTCTTACCATCTCCATTTTGATGGCTTTGGAGGCTGCAGCGAGAAGTTTCGGCTCGCCAGTCTGTTCGGCCCTATGGGACACTGAGGTCACAAACTTGCCAGCTGAGCTGGAGATGTGCACCAACTTCCTCTTCTTAGTCTCCTCAGGGACTTTCTCCTTGCCCCAAGGCCCCTTCAGCTTCTCTGGCCTCTGAGGAGTTGCCTCCTCCGAAGCCCTGGGAGTACAGTCCTTGGGCAGGCGCTCAACCCTGCCTCGGACTTCCTTTGCCCCGCTGGACCCAGGCTTCAGGGGCCTCGCCTTCGCAGTAGACGTGGCCTTCAAGATAGAAGCCATGTCTGGAGCTGAGTACTCCCTCTTCTTGAATTTATCTGCACAACAGGTCAGATCAGCATCAGTATAAAAACAATGGATAGGAAAAATTAAAGTGTTGGGGGCTTCGTACCTCTGGATGCCATCAGTTCGAAGCCCAGAAAGTATCTACTCCTTTCGATCAGGTGATCGAAGTGGCGAAACTTCAGAGGCCTCTTGTAAATGTCCTCTATCACCTCGAATTCCTCCCTACTGAGCTCGAACCTCGTACTACTATCTGCAAAGGAACCCCCAACAGTTAGACGAATTCATATTCTGACTTCAAAAGACAAGCAGAGGTCGGGAGACTCACGAGCTTCGTAGTACTGGGTCGGCACTATGCATGACAGGGCTTTGTCCCCCTCCACTGCCTGCCATTTACCTCGCACCCAGAACCAGGACTCCTTCCATCCCTTGATAGAGGAAGGAAGTCCCACCACAAAGGGTTCGTGAGCCCCCCAAGGCGTGAGGTAGTACCACCCCCTTGACTCCTTCCCAATTACTCGGGGCTGGAACAGGGTCATGAACACATGAAGAGGCATGTCTTCCCCAAGTGACACTTCCTTTCACAGGAAGTACGAGCCGACCAGCTAGCTCCACCCATTCGGCAGAACCTGGGTCGGCGACAGCATGAATTTCCTAAGCACCGCCCTAAAGAAGGGGTGCAGAGGAAGACGCATACCTGCCTTGAATAGGTATTCACTCACGGCCACACAGCCGGGCCTCGGATAGCAGGCCCGCTCGTTCGGCTCAGGGACTATCATTTCTATGTAGTGGGGTACACTGTACCTCTCCCTAAGTTCCCCCAACCTCTTCCCCGTCATATTCGAGGGCACCCTAGAAGCCCCCCACTCCTGGGTATAATCTACCGGCTCTTCGGCCATGGCATACCTATCCACCTCGGACATAACCCCGTGACCGACCCCATAGTCTAAAGACGCCACTGTAACAAGTTCCCTACCCGAAGTGGACTCCATTTTCTCAGTAAAAAGACAGTAACAAGGGTTCTTGTGCAAACAATACCTAAGGGAATTCGACACAAACGGAGACTGGCCGGAATTTAATATCACAGTCAACCTCGACGCCGGAAAATTTGGAGATTTGAGAGAGTTTCAGAGTGCAAAGTGTTCAAAAATCCTGAAAATTGGGATTTCCTCGCCTTTTATAAAGGTCCAAGACGAACCCCAGCCGTCAGATCAAATCTCAGTCAATCCAAGCCCTCCATTCCAGATCCAATCCAAGGCGTTGAATTCAAACGATTTTTAAATCCTACGCTTCAGATTTATGCGTGCCTCCCACGCACCTCTCCAACGCGTCTGCTTCTAGAAGCGCCAGCTGCCCTCATAATTGCATTTTTAATTCGACGGCAGCAGCGCCTTGGAAGTCATAACGGTTCAGCCACTTTTCCTCGAAAACAAGCACAAAACATCAAATCATTGGCACAGCAGCCAACGCACAATCATTACCATTGGACCTCGGCAAGCCTCGCAGGTTCGGTTCCTCAACCGCCTCGTCTTCCTCTTCGCCATTCAGCAATCAAGCCTCGTAGGTTCGGTCCCTCAGCCACCTCGGCTTCCTCTTCACCATTCAGCATCAAAGCCTCGCAGGTTCGGCTACTCAACCACCTCAGCTCATCTTCAGAGTTCAAACACCTCGCCTACTTCATCGCTCACCCACAGCAACACTTCTCAAGCTCCAACCATGATATAAATATCTATACTTGGACTTGGGGGACTATTATTGCGTGTTGTCACACCTGTCCTACACCCACCCGGGCCAATGGCCCACTCATCCTGATCCACGTGGCATTCCTGCCGAGGTGGCACACATTGCCGAGGTGGGTTATATCCGAGGTCCATCCGTCGAGGCTCCTGGATCCGATGTACGCGAGTTTGCCGAAGTCCAACCATCGAGGCCTACGACCCGAAGGATGGAACCTATTGAATGTAGCTGAGGTCCTCAAGTGGAAGTATTTGTCAAATGGTCGAAACCCCGAAGCTGATGCACGAGCCTCTTAACCACAAGGAGCTTCCTCCATAGTCACTTCTCCCAAGAGATCGCCTGCTCAGAGATCTTATTCGAATGACTGATAGAACGTTTGTCACAAGCATAAAGGTCAAGTCTTGTCACTAGTATGGAAGACCTGCGCAAGCAATAAATGCGCCGTAAGCTAGCAAGTCAAGCCCCATACCTAAGAAAAGACGTTTGAACTAAAGAGATGAGGCCACGTGCCACTTCATCCAAGGGCTCCCATTTCATATGTATCACTATAAATACTTCCATTGTGTAATGTCAAAGGTTAATGCAAGAATCAATACTAAAGACTACATTTACTCAACTCTCTCATCTTACTTGCAATATACAAATTGAGTTTATATACTTTTACATATACATTTACGAGCACCGGTTGGTAATTATTGTACAATCGGATTACGATCAACTCACCGGATTCCGAACGTCACCGTCCCGCGTCGTTGGGCTACTCCCACGCCCCTTTTAACCGCTCGTTTTAGACCGTCCACGTGTCTTAGCGTGTTGGACATTCGCCCACGCAAGCGCG